GGGGGGGGGGGGGGGGGGGTGTTGATCTCGAGTCGTGGAGTTGTGTATTATTATTATTGCTACTATTCTGATGATGACGATGATAACGATGATGATGACTATTACTAGCGTGATTACTAGTAGTTGTGATTTGGTCGAGCAGTAGGGCTCCTGATATTACAGGTATTACAGAAACTACTACGTCAATGTCGGGTGGTCAACGCTACAGGTCCCATGGCAGCTTTCTGGAACTTTGGTTTGAGGAGTCTTGGTGCTCCACCCTTAAAGCCTAAATCCTAAACCGAGCACGCCCCAGAGCCGCAGACACACGAGTGTGCTGCGACGAGAGCATGTGCATCAACCACCGTTAAACCAGCCATAGACCTTCAACCCTGATAATATAACCTGATATAATGTAATACAATACAGTATCATAGAGTCGTGTAGCAGCAATGTAGTAACATATCGTATCGTATAGCAACCCTACGCCCCGATCAACTTGGATGCTTTCATGCTGGGCTAAGGCGGTGTGTGAGATGGAAGATTTTCTTTAAAGTCCTCAACCTGAACGCAGAACCACACGAAAAATGCAAGCCCTGACTCATAAACAGAGCTTCGATTAGGGGACCCTAAGCCCTAAACCCTACCGAACTCCAAACAGATACCTGAAGCCTCAGGTCCCGCGACCCTCAACGCGAAACACAAAAGCTGTGTATGCTCCCAAAATTTCGAACGAATCGAAAGCAACAGTTGGGGTTTAGGGTTTCGGATCTATGACGGCAAAAGGGCTAAAGCCCCAAGACCTTTAAAGCGCCTTGAACTCTCAGTCTCAAGCACCGAACCTAACACTGAGCATCCTCAAGTAGGCTACGGCTTCGGCCTCGTCCAGAAACCTCAATCCAGGTTTGGGCTTCAGGTTCAGGGTTCAGGGTTTAACGTTGAGTGTTTTGGGTTTAAGGCTGGGTTCTAACCTGCAAAGCCTGGGCTTTTGCAGGCTCCACGCCACCAGACGCCGCAACTTTGCTCCTGGACCGGAACAAGGCAAGCCCAAGCGCCCCTATACACCCTGAACCTTAAACCCTAAACCGCAACCCCTGAATCCCAAGAGCCGCTCCTGTACGGACCGAACTGATTCGAACAGGGCGGGTATATCATACTGTATGTGTGTTTGTGTATATATATATACATACATATACATATACATATATATACACATATATATATATACATAGTTAGTTATTATATAGTTTATTAATTGAATTAGGTATATCACTGTCGTCTTCGGTTAAGGAGCGCGGCTTAGTTTAAGCTGCCACAATGGGGAAGCCAGGTCCTTGTTACGGTAACTTAAACTAAGTTCCTTAACAAGAACCCAGGCCATGCTACGCCGGAGCCTTTCACTGGCACGACTTAAGAGCTCGGCAACTGACAAATCGTGTTCCTCAGGATACCCCATATTACATACAAGTTATGATTTATCCCCAAACCCTATTCTAATGCTCATACAGTCGAGGGCAAAGGCGCAAAACAAAGGGGGAGAGCATGGGAAAGCCTACCTCGACATGCAATCGCTCGATACTTAGAAGAGAGTTTCGGGGTATTTGGGATATCATAACATACTTGTAATAGTCACTACTCGCGGCTATCATGCGGATATTCCTTCTTGTCGCACTGGCTGTGGTTGTTTTAACTGTTGCCCTGCCAGGTTTTCGTGGTCATTACCCGTCTTTGCTTCGTGTTTGCTACAGTACCCTTACCACTTACTCTTGGTTTCTCGATGGATGGTCTTTGTGGATCCTTTTCCCCCCTTAAACCCTAAACCAATTGTGCAGGACCGACGCTTGGAACGATGCTTCTGCTGATTGCTTCCAGGGTCCGAGGATTTTGCTTCCAGGGTCCCAGGATTCTACGTTTGAGGAGAGAAGTCCGAGAGCGCTTTCCGTAGACGCAGGGGTTTAGGGTTCAGGGTGTTGGGCGAGCTCCAATCAAGCCGGTGTAAAAAGGGGTGAGCTCCAATCAAGTCTGTGTACATGGTGTCAGAGAAGGGCATGCACATTCTCCATTAAACAAGTCTCTGGACATGACATGAGGAGGCACATTCGTTCCTAGCATGTGCTGGTTTATGTCCTCTGCACAAATGCCTACGTCGCAATGCAGACTTGCTCCGAAACCAAAGTCCATATTCACGTGTATAGGATTGAGGGACATAGCCCTAAACCCCTAAACCCTAAGCCCTCTATAGGTACTATGGTCTTGCATCCTTGCCTCAGAGGCCTTCGATGCCTTCCGAAAGTCAGTCCGCCGCAGCGAGACACTGGACGAAGGCAGCGGGGCCGTAGAGTCTTCAAGATTTCTGGGCTAGCCAGTGGCTTGTGCCACAGTTTAAACTTCGAAGGATACCGACAAGTAACATGCGCTCCGGTATGGAGTGGTGGTGGAGCATGCGTTCTGTGCGCGTTGCTCTCGGAACCCACCCTTGGACGGGATAAGCCTCACCCGGTGCAGTCAAGCCGGGGTGCCAGTCCACTAACTGCTGTCGATCCGGGTGGTCGGGCAAGGAGAGACAGGTTGAAGGTTGCTGTGCAATCACAGGGTCGACAAGTAACATGAGACTCTGCGCCCGGAGTTCTAATTACGGCGTAGCTTCTAGCTTCTCTTGGGAGCAGATCCTAACGTAGAGCTCAGCGGTGTGGCCGTAGCCTAGTGGGTATCGTTTCGGAATGCCTAGATGTGAATGTCCGCTGAGCTGTTCCCTAAAAACTCGATGGCTCAAGCTCTGTTGACGCACCTGCGTTTAATTGCACCCGTTTGCACAACCTACATTTTGCGACGCTATGGCATTGAAGCTTCTTGCTGTGGCGTCTGCGGCCTGCATAGGCTGTGTTCATTCTGTCCGCTCGGCCTCTACGTCTGACTTCGAGTCGGAAGGCGTGCAAGAGGGCGCGGCCATGTATGTGAAGAGTATGGAAGAGACCGCGCTTACCAAGGTAAGCCACTACAGCGAAGCTTAGTTCTCCGATACCCAACCTTCCAACTTTTGGAGTTCTTATAACAGTAATCTGAAAATTTTAACCTTTAATTTCATCCCTAAACCCTAAACCCTAAACTCTTCATGGCTTGTTGGGGAAGTAAGGAAGTGCCGGGAATGAATGAGGCTGAGATGCAGAACTTCCTGCATCTCTTCACGGAAAGCGTGCTTGAGCCGGAGCTCGCCTCAGAAGGCCCCTGGCTTTAGGGGCTTAGGGGTTGGGGTTTAGGGGTTGGGGTTTAGGGGTTGGGGTTTAGGGGTTTAGGGTTTAGGGTTCATAGGGATCTATAGTAAATAATAGGTTTTCCTTAGTTTTTGTAGCTTAGATTAAGATGGTTTCCTTATTATAACAATCTAAATGCATATGCTTTCCTTACTTTTAGTAGCTTAAACTAAAATGGTTTCCTTATTATAGTAATTTAACGCGAATATGTTTTCCTTATTATAGTAGCTTAAATTAAAATGGTTTCCTTATTATGGTAACTTAAACTAATATGGTTTCCTTATTGTGGTTACGTAAATTAAATCCCCTCAGAAGAACCCAGGCTATTCTCGCATAGTGCGGGCCACGGACTCAGCAGTGGTCATCGGGGACTTGCATGGACAGCTCTTCAACTTGATCGCGTTCCTCCGTGTTATCAAGGAACAGGTGACCGCGAAGGCGGACCACAAGGTGCTTCCCGAATCCAAGCTCTTGATCTGCGACCCGAAGTTTCAATATGTCTTCATGGGGGACTACGTGGATCGAGGTGAACGAAGTGTGGAGCTCGCCACGCTCCTCTTCTCCTACAAGGCTCTCTGCCCCGATGGCATAATCCTGCTTCAAGGCAACCACGAGAGCCAGAGTGCGAATTCCAGGTACGGTTTCGACAAGGAGGTTGTGCACAAGCTAAGATCTGAGAGCTTATACAATGACTTCAACAAGGCCTTCGCGAAGCTACCCTTCGTGGCCGTTGCCAAAGAGCCTGGGTGGGCCTTTGGGACACTTTACATGTTTCCCTTTCTTGGGCCTAAGACGACTGTATTTATGACTGGACTATAATGTCGAAGGCTTTAAAGCTTAACCTAGGAGCTCTTCATGGCAACTCACGGGGGGCTCTCCCAAGCTTTCGTTAACCAGTGCTCCGGGGCACAAGCTGACTTCCAGCGGTGTTTGTCTTACGACATTGGGTCGGGAATGGCCTCTAGGCATGCCTTTAGGAACGGTTTAGGGTTTAAAGGGATTACAGTTTAGGTTAGGATGTTTCATTTTTCGCCTTACTGGTCACTATTACTGGTCTCAGAGGATCTTGCTTAAGAAGAAGCTTCAGAATTTTCGCCGGGTCCACCCAGGTTTGGGCAGATCCACACAGAGGAAATGGATGGATTGTTTCCCCGAGGGGTGGGGACATCAAGCAGCACGGGAAGGATATCACCAAACAGTTCCTGGAGGGTAACGGATGAAGAGGCTGCCTTCCCAGGCTTTCCCAGAGAGCCCAATACCCCTTAATTGAGGAATATACCTTAAATTCTTGGGGCCTTAATATTATGATTTAAGGTATATATCCTTAATCAAGGGGCATCGGGCTCTCTGGGTTAGGGTTTAGGGTTGTCCTCTTTGGAGGTCCCCAGGGCTCTTTGCATTATGGGGTCTCGGTAGTCAAGGGCGACCAGTAGGAAAAGGGTACGTGTTCTTGCATAACGGGGCTGCCGGAGAACCCTGCAGGCTGCTTCGAGGACATGAGCAAGTGGACAAGGGGATTGACACCCTGAAGATTCAGGGCGGCTTCGTGGTGAACACCATCTTCTCTTCAGCCGACTATGTGGGGATCTTTTGCATCAACGAGAGAAGCAACCAACCTCTGCGACTTCCGAGGTGGGATCCGTCGATGTTCAGGGGGGGTGGGGACAAGAACAAAGGAGGAATCATGTTCGTCGACCTGAAGCAGCAGTCCTTCCAGCCCCACACTCTTACCGCAGAGACTGCTCGGCAGCTAGCAAGGGACTTCACCGGAGCAGGCTGTGACGATCCCATCTCATCCCATCCTCTCCCGGACGAAGAGCCGCCCGAAGAGCCAGGCTTAGTGGACAGGTTCAAGACCTTCTTCGGCATCTCTCTGCTTCAGGAGGACGGCTATGACCCTCAGACAGCCGAGCAAGTCGAGCTTCCCATCCATTGCCGCGGCGGTAATCATCTGAGCCCAGACGAGGCAGATCACCACGAGAACTACGTTCGCTCGACCTTGGCCGCATCCGATGACATGAGCTTCGAGGCTCGGAAGATCATCGATCTGGCTGGGGAAGCAGTAGTTTGCGAGAATGTGACCGACGCCACCAAGGACAACTGCAAGGCCATGGCCAGGGATATGATCACGCTGAAGGTGGGAGTTTCAGAAACTTCAAGGGGCCCCAAGACGGACCCTCCACTGCCAGATTACATGGCAGTATGGCTTGTTTTGAGGATCCCTACACAAGGTACCCCCCAAGTTTGTGCAACTTCCTGAGCCCGCAAACCAGGTTTTCATGGAGCTGAAGGGGAACGAGACGGTCCTAGAAGGCCTCGAGGACAAGATCATCGCTCGCGAAGGTGAAGTCCAGGGAGTCGTAGACATGGGCATCTGATGCTCTTAGAGGGCTGGTTTGGGGATCAGCTGTAATCTCAAGCCTAAACCCATAACTGCTAAATCCTAAGCTGCTGCACCAGTAGAGACCCGCAGACTTCTGAGTTGAAAAGACCCGAACCACATTCGCCGAAACGGCAACGCTGCTGCACAGTGTTGACCGTTACTACCTGTATCCACCTGCTTACGCATGCAGCGTGAGAAAAATTCGAGGCTGAGCTGCGAGTCAGGAGAGGTGTCCTGCTTGGTGCTGGATTTTGTTTGGGGATGGGTAGTGGCCTCTATTATTGCATGCGTTCTCGACCCAAGCACACAGTCTATGGGATCATTGTGGGCTATGTTGTACTATAAGGCAGTCTGAAGTCTGACATGGACATGACTTTGTCACTGTTTGGGGGAACTGTTGCCTCCTGCGCTAACGCCCCAAAACCCCTCAACCCTAAAGCCTAAAGCCCCTAAACCCTAAACCCCTAGACCCCAAACCCTATATACACCCTATAAAAGCCGCTGGGGCCCCCGAAGCCTGATCCCAAGCCCGCAAGCCTGAACCCTTGCAGGCGGGCTCTGGGAGGAAAACCCCTGAACCCCAGAAGCCCTAAACCCCAAGCCCCTCGACCCTAGGAGCCTTAAGCCCCCTAACCCTAAACCCTCAAGGACGTGAAGCCATGAAGAAGCTGCTGGCCGAAGCGAAGGAGCTCGGAGAGCGGGCAAATGCGCGGCCCTCAAGCACAAATTCACGGTGTAGGGTTTGAGGGGGTTAGGGTGTATCGAGCTTTTGGGTATTTGCGCAGGTTTGGGGGTTCAATTGTTTTGAGTTTCAGGTTAGTTCCCTAGAGTTTAGCTTTAGTGGCTCGCACATACTCGGCTGCAATTTTACTTCTTTTGGCTCTTGACCTAGAAGGATGAGAAAATCATGATGATAACCGCTAGGCTTCAGTTCGCTCATGGCACTGGCAAGATGAACAACAAGCCAGGAAAGCAGAACTATTTATAGGACGCGGTCTGCCACGCTTGTTCGAATTCAAACACATAGCATCGGCAACACGATCTTAGAGAGACAGTGCCCAAAGATGTGTAAACCATCTGAGACAGTCTCTTTGTTCGTTAAGCTGTTAAGCTTACGAGTTGTAGACTTGAAGCAATCGATCTCCTCGTTTAATCTGAGTTTTTCTGGCGGCAGCAGCTAGTTTTCGGTGGTTTAGGGTTTAGGGCCGGCAAGCGAGGCTTTCTTTTCCAAGCCCTGCTTTTGGGCCCGACGAGAAGGATCGCATCTATAGGGTTTGGAGTTTAGGACGAAAGATTCGTCTGCGATAGGTTGAAAGGCGGCACCAGCCTTGACTCAGCAGGGCCGGGCTTGTCATGGGCGCTGTTCAGGGGCGCTGTCGGCACAAAATGCTCGCTGCGGGCATCCGCCTTTCACGTTAGCCCACTTGCCGCCTTCAGGCTTTCGTGCTGCGTGCCTGCTGGTTGTGGGGCTGGTGTTGCCATTGCAGGGGAGACTTGGAGGCACGTGAAAAATGCACAAGCTCGTCAACAAGTTGGAAGGAAAGATTGGCATGATTAGAAGGTCCATGCTTTCTTGGGTGCAAGCTGCCTTCGCCCTGTGGACTGGGCCACATAGGACCCTTGACAAACTACGAAAGACTTGGACACCGAAACGGTCGGCGGATCTTGGACAGCTTAGCTTCAAGCAAATGTCCGCAAAGCAATGCAATTTCACTCGGTGCACTGGGAGTTTCTGGAACTGCCATACATTTATTTTGCTTTTGTGTTTCTGGTCTTCCGATTGGCCACCGCTGGCATGGGATACCGAAAGACCGCCGGCAAATCCCTGACGACCCTCTGCCTGGGCGTAGGGAAGTAATGAGCCGGGGCTATGAAGCCTAGAGTAGGATCATCGAGGTAACGCACCGATCATACCACTTCGAAAAAATGGGGGGGGGGGGGGGGGG